TTAAAAAACATGTTTTAATCGATTAAAAACATTTTTTTTGTTTTGAAAAAACATGTTTTTTATAAACTCGGAATTTTTATATCATATAATACTCACTTTTCCACTTTTTTGCTTTTTAATTAGTGATGGGCCATATTCAGCATTATCCTCATCAGAACTGCTTGCCATTTTGGGTGAATAATTCACAAAACGGTATTACAAAAAACAGAACAAATATCAAAAAGCGCACGGTGTTTTTATGTGTTACGGAATGAACGCGTAAACCACTTGTGGCATATAGTGACGTGCGATATTATAGTTCACTACGTATACAGCTGCAGCACGTCGGCGGCGGCGACACAGCCGACATCAGCGCTGTCTGTGGCAACAGACATGCGCGAGCTCGACGAATTTTCGTCGATCGAGTGGGCAAGGTTATTCAGAATAGAGTATAATATTACCTCAAGCACTTTAGAAACACCCTGTATAAGTATAATGTCATTGTCATTTTATGATGTAATAATATGAATTAATTTGTTTGATTTAATATAAAGTATAAATTAAGGAGGTAGGTACCAACTTATTCAGTATGTTTACAATTTTCTTTGTTATGTTAACTAAAGTAAAATTGTATTATTACTGTCTAGGCGTATTACTTAATAGGTGGTTTTTAATTATAACTAACCTAACCTAGAGTATATTATGTAAAATAAGAATGATAATAATGTTTATGCAAAAGAATTAAGATATTACGTGTATTCATTTTTCTATACAACTTAAATATGCATTTTTGTATTAAAACTATGTTTATAAAAATTATTGACTTAACTTAGTTGGTACTGTAAGCTAATTGATTCATTACTATTTGTTTATTCAATAGGTAATAGGTATATTATGGTCTTTACAGAATGATTTAAGATTTTAAACACCTATTTTATTTAGTTAGACATAGTTAGACACAAACCACACGGCTGTATCTGTCTAAAGCTAAACTACCAAAACTAGTTCGCGAAAAAAGTAATATAAAAAGATGGACTTTTAACTAAATATTTAGTTATAATTTAGAAAAAAAATCATTATCACTAAATGTGGTGACCTAAGACAGGTATTAGATATATAAAAAAAAAATAATAACTAACTTTTTCTTAACAAGTTGAATTAATATTTGTCTCCACATTAACTTTAAATTTTATACAATTTGTACAATTGTACAATTTATGATAATGACTCATCAGTTATTTTTACACTTTACAATTAGTATGTAGATTATTAGTTATTGAACTATAATTGGTATCACACATTAGTGTATACCACTGTAGTAAATCCAGACTTATCATGTTTTTAGTAAAATTACATTGTAGTATTATAATAACAGAAATAATTTTAAAAACCATCAATCCGAATGTTACACTTTTCTTGCTAAAAGGTCTGATATCGAATACTGACTTTGAAACAACAACTGGAATCATATTGTATTGCGACGTGTTCTTTTTGATATAGACGATTTCTGTTGAGTATTTCTTAAAACGTATAAAAATAAATATAACAACTTAACAAAACATGAATCACGGATGTCATTAACGTTTATATGATCGTTACAACACATATTTGAAAACTGAGGTTATAACTTGCTCAAGTTCTGTTATATATTAATCTGATTATATTAAAATGAATATAAAAAACTAATGTGAACGTGAAATCAAATCAAATAACGTGTAGGGGGTGGTTAATATACTTACCTGATCCGTTGAACCTGTAAATTACATTTTAAACCTTGTATATTCAATTAAAACATGACGCGTTCTTTCACTAGACAACTAGTTCCCTAGGTATAAAATCAAATACTAACACATTTAAGTCTATAAATTCAATATTTATTTCATAATGCGTGTACAAAATTTTTAAATATAATTAATGCAAGTAAACTAACAAGTGGTGTCATATGATTTAGACTGATAACAATCACAAACATGACCTACTTTTACATATTCGTTTTTTACATTTTCTATAACTTCATTTCCCTTACATAGTACAACACAAATATACGTTTAGGATTCCATTTTGGATGTTCTACCCACGGTATGTCATCATTTGTCCATTTTTGAAAAACAAGTCTACAGAACAAACATTCAACTATAACTCCTACTCCTGTATATCTGAAACCAGATCCAGATAATGTATATTTATTTTGACACGAAGTGGATGGAAAAGTATTGTATGATTTTAATCTCGATAAAAATGATGTAGAATCTGAATATACTGGATACGAATAATTTCATACCAAATAAACTAAGGATGGAAAATCGATTGAAAAATTTCTGTAAATTCATGGTTTTTGATAAAACTGAAAATATTTAATCGTAAAAATCAATAAGATAATTTGTCGGAAAAATAAAAATTAAACACAACTTGATTGATCTATAGTCCATTCAAAATAAGAAACGTAGACGGCGGCCGACTTCTGCACATGGGCGTGGCCTAACTACGTCCATCGAGCTTTGACACCGTCGCCGGCGAGAGCGTCGCCTCATTCTATTGTTGATAGGGATGGCAATTTTTTTGTGAACATCGATGTATCGATGTATCGATATATTTATTATGAAACATCGATGGTGACAATATCGGTAATTAAAAAAAACATCAAAGTCAAGAACTCGACGTATTTAGAAAAACATCGATGTTTTCAAAAAAAACAAATATACATTTTATAGGAAAAAAAATATTATTCTTTGTTATAACCCACAAGCTAAATTAATTATAAACATTTTAAATTTAAAAACACACAATCAACTCAATTTATAAACTTAATTATTTGAAAGATTAAAAAAAAACATTGTGTAAGAAAATTAAATAAATACAGTTTACAGTCAAATTATAATTACAATAAAACCCTAAGTTATAACAACACTTTTTATATATTATTTTAAATGTAAATAAATGTAGTCATTCAGATAGAAGCCAAAATTGATCAGCAAAGTTGTTCAAAAAAATCAATTTTGATGCAGATTTTCCACATAACCGGTTTCTAGTTTTTGATATTGTATTACTAGCACAAGAAAATAGCCTTTCACTTGGGACCGATGTACTAACACCAGATAAATATTTTGTAGCTAATTTATGAATTAATGGATACATTGGTTTTAATTCTTCCCAAGTAATCAATGGATCTGTTTTTAATGGAGATACTGGTGTAGACAAATATATAGTGATTTCAGGGCCTAAATATTTTTGATTTCCTAGATTAGTTTTATCAACATAAGTTTTAAGTGATTTTCGAGCCAAATTTTTATGATGTCCCCATAAGTCTATATTATCATATTCCGAAGCAGAGTCAGAAGAATCAGTTGAAAGATGATCTTCTTCTACTGTTGAACTAAGACTATTTATTGAATTATTTATAAATCTTAGATGTTTTGAAAGTTCTAGAGCATCTTTAAAATGTATATTTTTAAATCTTGGATCGAGTATAGTTGAAACAGACAGTAAATAATTTTTTTCAATAAATTCAAACCGCTTCTTCATCTCATCAGTTATGGCATTTTTGAACTCTACTCCAATTCTGGAAGTTGGTAACATTGTACTTAAATTATCGTTGATGCAACTTATTATAGGAATTACCAAACTCATTGTTGCATATTTTTGCACCGAAATTTCTGATGTTACTTTTTTAAGAATTTCTAAAATATTAACTGCTTCTTTGATATTTTCAATTTCTTGACCATTCAACATATGAGGTGCATTTATATGTTTTAATACAATTTGATTCACTACTTCTTTTAGTTCTAAAAATCGTTTGCACATGAAATAAACAGAATTCCACCTAGTAACAACATCTAAAATAAGTTTTTTTATATTATTTCCATCTTTTTTCTTGTGCAATTTTCTCAATTCGTCAGAACAGTTCACACTTCTTTTTATAAATTTTACAATATTTCTTACTTTACTAATCAAATCAAGTAATCCATCAACTTTTTTCATAGATCCTTCGGCAACCAAGTTAATTGAATGAGCAAAACATCGTAAATGTCTATTTTCTCCAAAATTTTCTTTTATTGCTTTTAACATTGTAGAATCATTATCTGTTACTACAGCCAAAATCTTAGATTTGGGTATATCCCACAAATTTAATATATTTAAAAGCTCATGAGAAATATAATTGGCTGTATGAGACTTATACCCAATGCAGCAGAACATAACTTTGTAGAATGTATAAAATGTATTGTAACTCCGAGATAGCTTTTGGTAGTCATCATTTCGGACCAAATATCCGTAGTTATAGTTATGTCTTCAATTTCTTTTAAAAAATGTTTAAAGTTTGAAGATACAACATCATACCTCTGTAGGATTCGGGCTTTTATGGTGTTTCGAGTAGGAACTTTATACAGCGGTGCAACTTCTTTCATCAGTTTCTTAAATCCTATGTCCTCGACGACTGAAAACGGTTGATTATCTTTGCAAATAAAATATACAATTTCTTCAGTTATTTTAATGTGTTTTTGTCCTCCACCTGTTAAAATATATAAATTATTATTTATATAAATGCACAATTAGCAGGGTTGATGTAATTAGCAAAATCAAATTAATAAATTAATTTTATTAATTATAAATAAAATATACTAACTTGAAAAAATAGATATTTTATTTAGTGACCATTCTAGAGTAGGCTGTTTCATGAATTTTTCAGTAACATTTGAGGAGGTACTTCCGCTTGGAGACTATGTGTAAGTTGAGACAGATACATCAGAGGGCAATGCGTTAGAACTGTTTGCAGTTTCTTGAGTTTGTGGCTCTGGATCATCAATATTGTTCTGAATTCTGATTCCAGGAGTACAATATAAACTCATTGCCTGTTTAAGTAGTTATAATTAATATACTTATAGGTAATAATTAAAGTTAAATAACACCTTGGTAATTTTAACTGTAGATTAATACAAGTTTTGCATTTAGTTCTAACTTAAGTGATTGCTTGTAAATTGTGACATGATTCAATAAAAAAAAATTATAAAATTTAAAAATAAATCAATAAAAATTCAAATAGTAGTCTTATATTTAGATATAAATATATTATTATGAATAAATAAGAACATTTATATTAATATTAGTGAGACTGATGACTAGAGTTAGGATGTTGATGACTTTTGCATTTTTTTTCCTTTTATTCTGTACAATGCTATCCTAGCTAAAAGTTTGTTTCATGCTCCCTTGATGCAGAATATTCTAATTTTATTTTGCATTTTTTTTGCATTTTTTGCATTTTCAGCTACAACCCATACAGCAATTTCCTAACATCAATATTATTATAATTTTAGTACTTGATTAAATTTAAAATATTATAATTGTTACGTTATAGTAACATTATTAGGTGTTTAAAAAAGTAATATTAAATCTAAAATATTTATTAAATATGCTCGTTAAGTTTTTTTTATAACATTAAAATTGTAATCAAATAAGAATATTGTAATACAATTTAGTAGGATGAAAAGGGGCATTCAGCAGCACCTCCCCCTTAAATTTTACATGTAAAAGCATAGGCTTCTCTGTATAGGCAATTCGTAGTACACGCACCTCCCAAACTTGTATTAATTACTCGATATAGGCAACCCGCAATACACATAAACTCATCAAACATTACAGCCACCACCCGATCCGACACGTTACCGACATATATTTTATGCCTTCCCCTTCAAATACATTACCTCCCCTTTTACAAAAAAAAAAACTATATAATATATAATTTTCTGATGTACATTTGTATCACCTATGTCGGACAAGTGTTCGATATATATTTTACCCCTTCTCCTTCAAATACATTACCTCCCCTTTTATTTCCCCTATAAAAAAAATATATAAAATATTCTGATGTACCTACATTTGTATCGACTATATCATACATACATAACACATACATACATACATACTTACATACATACATACATACAAACATACATACTTACATACATACATACATACATACATACATACGAACAAACATACATACATACATACATACATACATACATACATACATACATACATACATACATACATACATACATAAATACATACATACATACATACATACATACAAACATACATACACAAGGCCGGATTAAGGGTGGGTCTAGCCGAGGCGGCAGCCCCGGGGCCCTCTCGAATACCCAAGTGAAAGGGGCCCAAACAATTTTAAGCCGATACACAATTTTCAATGATTTAAAAAAAATAGTTTTTCTATATTTTAAAAACCATTTTTTTTATCGACAAAAATAACTAAATAGTAAATACTTATAAAAGGACTATGGTAGAAAAAACGCATTTTACCACGCACTAAGACATATACTCGTATATTATATAAATGTTATAATTTATGTTCTTTTTATCTCTGTAATAACATAGACATATAATTAGAAAATAATTACAAGTCTGTGGGTACTGGGTAATATTGCCAGTATTGGTGGAATACGGGAAATCGCTCGTACTCTAGTATTGTATGAGTATATCTTATCTCGATTCTCGATGCATTTAAGTTATTTATAGTAACCCGTAGTGCTTATGATATATTAATCTAGACGATATAGTATCATTTTATAAAACTACTGCAAAATGCAAATACTAGACTAGTGACTACGAAATAATAATATTCATTTAGTTAGATATTTTTGACATTTTCGGTTTAATATTATTACAGACTTTACAGT